TATACCCCTCGCGGGATAATATGGAAACAAATTTTATAACAAAAAACAATATATATATAAAACAATAATTTTGTTTGTTATTACAGTTTATAAGTTAATTAAATTTAATTATTCAATAAATTATACATTAAAAACATGTATTAATTACTAATTATATTAAAAACTATATACTTTAAACAATTATAAATAAAATTTTATAATTATTTTAACATAGTGACCAATGGTCATTTTTGACTATTAATTATTAAAATTGACCATTTAATAATTTTTTAAAAAATAAATTGTATTTATAATTTTATAAATAATATTATTTTAATGTAATAAAAATTAATAATAGTAAACTATAATGAATGAATCATAAAATAATTAAATTTAATTAACTTATAAACTGTAATAAAAAACAAAATTAGTGTTTTATATATATATATTGTTTTTTGTTATAAAATTTGTTTCCATATTTTCCCGCGTGGGGTATAGATAACAATGTTTTTTTAACAAATATTTTGTGGGGGGCGAGGAGGCTTTTAAAACAGTTTTAATTTTTTGTGGTGGGCGTGGGGGGCTAGAGGGCCATAAAAAACTAAGTTTTATTAAAATATTTTTTGGGGGGCGTGGGGGGCGTGGTGGGCATATAAGTTTTCATATATTTTGTGGGGGGCGAGTCATTGAAAATAGTTTTAGTATTATATTTTGTGGGGGCGTGGGGGCATATAAGTTTCAAAATATTTTTTGGGGGGCGTGGTGGGCATAAAAAACAAAGTTTTAATAAAATATTTTGTGGGAGCCATAGTAAACTAACTTGTAATAAAATATTTTGTGGGGGGCGAGGGGGGCGTGGGGAGCGTGGTGGGCAATTAAGTCATCGCCCAAAAATATTAATATTTAACAACATTAATATTTAACAATAACAAGTAATATTTATAATTAAAATTTAGTTTACAGTGATGTCCAGTAAATACAAAAATTTGTAAAAAAAAATTTTAAGTACAATAAATTAAATATTAATAAAAAAAATTGTTGTAACATAGGTTAGTATGTAATATTATTTTTGTAAAAATGAAACTGTAATCTGATAATTATATATAAAATATATAGTTATTAATAATAAACTTATAAATTATTAAATTATAGAGTGATCCAAAAATATCAATAGATAAAATTTATAAATAGTTTAGTTTATATTTAAAAAATGTTACTAAAAAATATTTAATAATAATTAGCTAGCTATCAATTTATCAATATCTGTATAAATAATGATTGACCTGTTTGTGCGAAAATAAATAATTTCTAATAAAAATAAAACTATTGATATGACCATGATCACTTTTTTGTACAATAAATTATTTATAATTATATTAAATGCATTTTTTTTAAGTTTTACATCAATTAACATCAAAATATTTACAATGGTTAATTAATGTTTGTTAATTTTTTTTAAATTATGTAAAAATCAAATCAACTACTATTTTATTAAAATTTTACTAATAATTGTTATACTATTGTTATTTATTTTAAATATAATTATTATTGTTTAACAAACTGTAATTTATAAACAAATTCTAAATATAAAGGTTTTTAAAATAATTTTTAATACACTTAAATAATGATCCGAAATATCAATATAAAAATAATTTAACAATAAAAGTTTATATTAATAGATTATTGTAATGTTTAAAAAATAGCATACTATTGTCAAATTTAATAAATTAGTAAACTATTGATATAACCATTATCACTTTTTTTAGAGTGTTATAATTTTTATCTTATTATAATTAATTTTTAAACTATTTTTTTTAAAAAAAAACTACAATTACAATAAACAATCATAAAACAAATTAAATAACATATGAAAAATATTTGTAAAAACAAATTTAAATCTAATATATTTATATAAAACTAATTATTATTATTTTTTTTGAAAAATAAACTATTAATAAACTTTAAAATAAAGATATTATGTTAATTAATGTTAAATATTTATAAAAAAATAAAACTATAACATTACAATTACATTATTTATTTATAAGACAATTGAATTCAATATTAGTTTAATTTTTTTTTAATTAATTTATCGGATCATAATGTATATATATTATAGAAATATATAAATCAATATATATACATATATATATATATTACACTATTATTTTGAAAAAAACAAATTATATATATTTTATGATTATAAAAAATCAATATTATTAAGTAATTGAATTATCAGTTTGTATTGTATAATGTCATAATTTATGTGCAATTTTTAATAGAGATAATTAACACTTATTAGTTAATAATATATAATAGTTATATCTATACATGTGTTAAAACAGTGTTTTTTGAATCTAAAGGGGGGTCTATTGTATTACACATTGTATATGTTTTGTTGATAAAGTGTAAATGTAAATATATATATATTTATAACAATGAGTGCAATTACATCATAGATAAGTTATATTAACAAATATGATAATTATATATTTTTTATATGACTCATTAGCAAGATAAAAAATTGATTTTTTAATAGTATATAAGCCAGATCAATTTGCCCAATAAAAATTCAATTTGAAAATAACTAAATTATTAATAGATTAATTGTTTATTAGTATTATCAATATTATTATTATTATTATTATTAAATCATGAATTTTGTAGTCAATATATGCTGTCTGTTGGCTATCGGCTCTATCATTGGTTTAGTGTCTTCACTATCCATTTATGAGCGCCTGTATGCAGATATCGATGCTCTGGATTCACCCATTGAAAGTTGTTTGCATAAAATCAATACAACTGCTATCTACTGTGTCTTTAAAGCACTGTCCGATTGGGGTATACCTATCGACAAACCGATTGATTCAAAATCGCGAAAAGGTTGTTGTGCTGCTTATGAAGTATTTGATTGTCTTATAGAGGCAGCAGATGTTAGTATAGATTTATTTTGTTTGAATAATTTTATTAATGTTTTATTTTTAATTAATTTTAATTATAACAGCAATTATGTACTACCGATGAAAGTCAAGTGTTTGACAAATTCATTAGCGATGCCATTGTTGACGAACAACGGGTAAACTGTACGGCATATCCCTATCACTCGGAAATTTGTTCACTAAATGCTACGATTATTGACTTGAATTAACTCTAATATATTTATAACTAATTATTACTTTTTAAAAAATCTAATTTTTATGTAACACTACTAAAATCTCTATAAAATTACTATTATTTTATAATCTGTTGTCAATTGATTTTAAATTTTTTTTTCTAATGTTACAAACAATAAACAAAAAACTGTAAACATAAAAAACTTTGAAAATATTTTATTTGTATTAATAAATAAATTATACAATAGTTTATTGTCTTTTAGCAATTATTTTACTTATAAATTGAATAACTTATTGATTTAAATTGGTAATTCATATTTTTTCGAAAATAATTAACATTTTCACGAATTCCTGAAAGGAATACGTATATGCATTCTATAAGTCGGTCTGTCTGTCGGTCTGTCTGTCCCACGAGGACATAGGTTCGAATCCACTATCCGCTACAATTTTTTTTGCTTTTTTTTCTTTTTTAAGTTTATTTTTTAGGAAATTGAAGAAAATGGTGTCAAAAAATTAATAAAAAAAATTTTGAATTTTTTTTGAATTTTTTTTTGATTTTTTTTTTGATTTTTTTTTTGTTTTTAAGCTTATTTTTTAGGAAAATAGTAGTTTATTTTGTAATACTGAATCATTTGATACCCCATATGACTATAGTTGTTTATTTTGTCATACTGAATCGTTTGAGACCCTACATAACTATAGTTGATTTTATTTTATCATACTGAATTTAATTTTTAATTATGATTAGGAATTCGTGTGGAAATGCTTTCTAGCATTCTCAACTGGTTTTAATTTAATTATTATTTCACTAAACTAATGATATCACCATGATCACTTTTTTGTACAATTTATAATTATATTAAATGCATTTTTTTAAGTTTCACATCAATTTACATCATTAAAAAATTTACACTAGTTAATTTATGTTTGTTAATTTTTTTTTTAAAAATTATGTAAAAATCAAATTAACTACTATTTTACTAATAAAATTATTTGACTTGCTCATTTTAAAATGCTAACCACAATCATTAAAATAAATAAATTTTAGACACCCGATTAATTGTTAATGTGTAGTTAGAAATATTAATTTAAATTAAAAATATAATAAAAAAAATCAAATAATATTATTCCTTATTAATAAAAACTGTAATTTATAATAAAATTGTATAAATTTTTATATTATTAAGTGATCCAAAAAAAATCAATAGAAATATATTTCAATATTGTTATTAGACCAATAAAAAATTAAACTATTGATTTGATTATGATCATTTTTACAAATATTAGTATTATTTTTTATTAGACAATAGAACTCAATTTTTAATAAAATTGTTTTTAATTAATTTATCGGATCATAATGTACAATATATTAATTTTATAAATATATAAATCAGTATTTATATATTAAATTATTATTTTGAAAAAAAACTAATAGTATACATTTTTATATGATTATATCAAAATCAATATTATTAAGTAATTGAATTATCATTTTGTATTGTATAATGTGATATTTATGTGCAATATTTTTTAATAGAGATAATTGGCACTTATATTAGATAATAATATATATATATAGTTATATCTATAGCAGTGTTAAAAATTATTTGAATCTAAAGGGGGGTCTAATGTATATGTTTTGTTGAGAAAGTTTATAAATATATAACAATTGAGTGCAATTACACCATTGATAAGTGATATTAAATAATATGATAATTATATTTTTGAAGATATTTTTTTTATCTTGCTAATGAGTCATTTAAAAAAATATACTATTATCATATTTGTTAATATCACTTATCTATGGTGTAATTGCACTCATTGTTATATACATGTATTTATATAAACTATAAGTTATAGGTTTTTTTACTAGTATATAAACCAGATCAATTTGCCAAATAAAAATTCAATTTCAATAATTACTAATTTATTAGTAGATTTATTTGTTTATTATTATTATTAAACAATGAATTTTGTAGTCAATATATGCTGTCTGTTGGCCATCGGCTCTATCATTGGTTTAGTGTCTTCACTATCCATTTATGAGCGCCTGTATGCAGATATCGATGCTCTGGATTCACCCATTGAAAATTGTTTGCTTAAAATCAATCTAACTGCTGTCTATTGTGTCCTAAATGCACTGTCCGATTGGGGTATACCTATCGACAAACCAATTGATTCAAAATCGCGAAAAGGTTGTTGTGCTGCTTATGAAGTATTTGATTGTCTTATAGAGGCAGCAGATGTTAGTATAGATTTATTTTTTGAATAATTTTATTATTGTTTTATTTTTAATTTTGTATTAATATTAATTATAACAGCAATTATGTACTACCGATGAAAGTCAAGTGTTTGATAAATTCATTAGAGATGCCATTGTTGACGAACAACGGGTAAACTGTACGGCATATCCCTATCACTCGGAAATTTGTTCACTAAATGCTACGATTATTGACTTGAATTAACTCTAATATATTTATAACTAATTATTACTTTTAAAAATATCTAATTTTTATGTAACAGTACTAAAATTATTATAAAAATTACTATTATTTTATAATCTGTTGTCAATTGATTTTTAAATTTTTTTTTCTAATGTTATAAACAATAAACTAAAACTGGAAACAAAATACTTTGAAAATATTTTATTTGTATTAATAAATAAATTATACAATTAGAATAAACTAATTAGATATTTTTTATGGTTATAAAAAATTAATATTATTAAGTAATTAAATTATCAATTTGTATTATATAATGTGATAATTTATGTGCAATATTTTTAATAAAGATAATTAACACTTATTAGTTAATAATATATAATAGTATATATAGTCTATACATGTTTTTTTTTAATCTAATTGGGGTCTATTGTATAATATACAATAAATAACAATGAATTATGCAATCAATTGTCTATAATATCAAATTATAAGATTATTTGTGACAAAATTACATATCTTGAAACACAAGGACTAACAGTTGTTCAACAATTAAAAGTTATTGAAGATTTTGATAATACACTAAAAGATGATTATTTAGAAAAACTCAATTAATCATTATATATAACAATGAGTGCAATTACACCATATAAATGATATTAACAAATATGATAATTATATTTTTTAGATAATTTTTCTAATTTAATTTCTTTAATTTAAAATCTTGCTAATGAGTCATAATCTAAAAAAATATAATTATCATATTTATTAATATCACTTATCTATGGTGTAATTGCTGTTATATATATTAACTATAAGTTATAGGTTTTTTAATAGTATATAAACCAGATCAATTTGCCCAATAAAAATTCAATTTAAATAATTATTAATAGATTTATTGTTTATTAGTATTATTAATACTATTATTATTAAACCATGAATTTTGTAGTCAATATATGCTGTCTGTTGGCTATCGGCACTATCATTGGTTTAGTGTCTTCACTATCCATTTATGAGCGCCTGTATGCAGATATCGATGCTCTGGATTCACCCATTGAAAGTTGTTTGTATAAACTCAATCTAAGAGCTGTCTATTGCGTCCTAAATGCACTGTCCGATTGGGGTATACCTATCGACAAACCAATTGATTCAAAATCGCGAAAAGGTTGTTGTGCTGCTTATGAAGTATTTGATTGTCTTATAGAGGCAGCAGATGTTAGTATAGCTTTAGTTTAATTTTATTTTTTTGAATAATTTTATTATTGTTTTATTATTTAATTAATATTAATTATAACAGCAATTATGTACTACCGATGAAAGTCAAGTGTTTGATAAATTCATTAGCGATGCCATTGTTGACGAACAACGGGTAAACTGTACGGCATATCCCTATCACTCGGATATTTGTTCACTAAATACAACGGCTATTGAGTATTAACTCTAAGATAATTATAATTAAATTTATAAATACTAATAAAAATAATGTTTTAAAAAAATAAATAAATATGATTTGCATATAACTGTGTTTTTTTTTTATTATGACCATGATCTCATTTTTACCCAATATATTATTTATAATTATATTAAATGCATTTTTTTGAAGTTTTAAATCAATTTACATCAAAAAATTTACAATGGTTAATTTATATTTGTAAATTTTTTTTAAATATATAAAAATCATATTAACTACTATTTTACTAATAAAATTATTTGACTTGCTCATTTTAAAATAATACCCGTATTCATTAAAATTTAAAAAATTTAGACACCCGTTAATTGTTAATGTGTAGTCAGAAATATTAATTTAAATTAAAAATATTACAAAATTAAATAAAATATAATAAAAAAATAAATTTATATTATTCCTTATTAAAAAAAACTGTAATTTATAATAAATTACAAAATATAATATAATAATTGTATAAATTTTTATATTATTAGGTGATACAAAATAATCAATAGAAATATATTTCAATATTGTTATTAATCCGATCTAAATTATAAAAAATTAAACTATTGATTTGATTATGATCATTTTTACAAATATTATTATTATTATTGTTTTAATTTTATTATTATATATTGATAGGTCAAACAAATTGATAAAAAAATAAAACATTTATACTTAAATAATAATATTATTAAAAAAAATTATATATTAAATATTAAATAAATATAATATCAAATTATATTTGTTTAATTAAAATATAATAATTAAATAATAATAATAATATAATTATCAAATGAATAGTTTAAATTGCTATTAAAGATCACTAAGAATAAGGCAATATGTAATAAAAAATATTACTATTTTTTATATAAATATTAAAATAATTTTTCTATTAATTTTATATTATTGTTTGTTTAATTTTATAATAAATTTATTTATTTTTCAAATATATGATCTTTTAATAGATTATTCAATCAATTATAATAAGCTATTATAAATTACTTTTTTGGTTTGCAAAAATATAATAATATATTTAATAATTAAATTAATTACAATTACATTATTTATTTACTTATAAGATAATATAATTCAATTTTTATTAAAATTTTTTAATTAATTTATCGGATCATAATATATATTAATTTTTAGAAATATATAAATCAATATATATTACACTATTATTTTGAAAAAAACTAATTAGATATTAAAAAATCAATATTATTAAGTAATTGAATTATCAATTTGTATTATATAATGTGATAATTTATGTGCAATATTTTTAATAAAGATAATTAACATTTAATAGTTATATCTATACATGTGTCTAAAAATGTTTATTTTGAATCTATAGGGGGTCTATTGTATAATATACAATAAATAACAATGAATTGTATTGTCTATAATATCAAATTATAAGATTATTTGTGACAAAAAATTACATATCTTGAAACACAAGGACTAACAGTATATATTTTTTTGATTGAAACTGAGATAACGTTTTGCATGGCTATTACATATTGTATATGTTTTGCTGAGAAAGTGTTATATATATAACAATGAGTGCAATTACACCATATAAATGATATTAACAAATAAGATAATTATATTTTTAGATAATTTTTTATCTTGCTAATGAGTCATCTAAAAAAATATAATTATCATATTTTTATATCACTTATCTATGGTGTAATTGCACTCATTGTTATATATATATTAATTATAAGTTATAGGTTTTTTAATAGTATATAAACCAGATCAATTTGCCTGATAAAAATTCAATTTCAATAATTATTAAATTATTAGTAGATTTATTGTTTATTAGTATTATTAATAGTATTATTATTAAACAATGAATTTTGTAGTCAATATATGCTGTCTGTTGGCCATCGGCTCTATCATTGGTTTAGTGTCTTCACTATCCATTTATGAGCGCCTGTATGCAGATATCGATGCTCTGGATTCACCCATTGAAAATTGTTTGCTTAAAATCAATCTAACTGCTGTCTATTGTGTCCTAAATGCACTGTCCGATTGGGGTATACCTATCGACAAACCAATTGATTCAAAATCGCGAAAAGGTTGTTGTGCTGCTTATGAAGTATTTGATTGTCTTATAGAGGCAGCAGATGTTAGTATAGATTTATTTTTTGAATAATTTTATTATTGTTTTATTTTTAATTTTTAATTAATTATAACAGCAATTATGTACTACCGATGAAAGTCAAATGTTTGATAAATTCATTAGAGATGCCATTGTTGACGAACAACTGGTAAACTGTACGGCATATCCCTATCACTCGGATATTTGTTCATTAAATGCTACGATTATTGACTTGAATTAACTCTAATATATTTATAACTAATTATTACTTTTAAAAATATCTTATTTTTATGTAACAGTACTAAAATTATTATAAAAATTACTATTATTTTATAATCAGTTGTCAATTGATTTTTAAATTTTTTTTTCTAATGTTATAAACAATAAACTAAAACTGGAAATAAAATACTTTGAAAATATTTTATTTGTATTAATAAATAAATTATACACTAGTTTATTGTCTTATAGAAATTATTTTACTTATTAATAAATGAATAACTATTTTATTTAAATTGTTAATTCATATTTTTTTCCGAAAAAATAACAATTTTATAATTTGGTTATTATTTCACTAAACTAATGGGTATTATTTAATTACAAAAAAATAAGTTATTATATAAAAATTTTCAATCATGATTAATTAATAAAAAATAATAACATTTTAATGCAATAACCAAAACAATTGAAATCACTAAAACATACAATTATATTCAATAATATGGTAACTATAATAATAATAATAATTTACTAGTACTGTACATAATTAATTAATTAGAAAATTTTAGATTTATTAATTATATTTTATAATAATAACCATATATTTTTTTTAATATCTGACAATTAAAAGATTTAAATTAAAATAATTACAAATACTTTTTAAAATAAACTTTGTTGTAATTTCCGTTACTATAAAATATATCATAATTTATTAACTAATTTTATTTTTGTGAAATGAAACTGTAATCTGATAATTATATATAAAATATATAGTTATTAATAATAATCTTATAAATTACTAAATTATAGAGTGATCCAAAAATATCAATAGTTAACATTTATATATAGTTTAGTTTATATTAAAAATGTTAATAAAAAAATATTTACTAATAGTTAGCTAGCTATTAACTTATCAATATTAATTACTGAATTTCTTGATTGTTTTGAAATAAAAATAAAACTATTGATATGACCATGATCACTTTTTTGTACAATATATTATTTATAATTACATTAAATGCATTTTTTAAAAGTTTTATTTGCCATTTTCTTGCCTACCCCCAACTTTTTTTGCCTACCCCTGCCTACCCTAATACTTTGCCTACCTAAATATACTAAGATTCATATATTATTATTTTAATTATTAAATTATTATTATTAGGCAGGGGTAGGCAAAAATATTAGGGGTAGGCAGGGTAAGCGGATAACAACCAACCATATATATTACAATATTATTTTGAAAAAAAAACTAATAATATATATATTTTTTTATGATTATAAAAAAATCAATAATATTAAGTAATTTAATTATCAGTTTTTATTGTCTAATGTGATA